CACGTACTCCTCGCCTCAGGCCACTCCTCTGCCTACTCGCCACTCGCTCTCAGCTCTGCCTTCGGATGAGTTCGTAGAGTCAAGTGGCCCGTATGCAGAGCTTGTTGGCTGCCTCATATACCTGATGACCTGCACTCGACCTGACCTTGCATACCCTCTTAGCATTCTCGCACGCTATGTTGCTCCTGGGAGACACCGACCAGAGCACATGGCTGCAGCGAAGAGGGTGTTGCGCTAATTGTGCAGTACGTCGGGCATGGGGCTAGTGCTTGGAGGGCGGAGTCCAGTGGTCCTCACTGGGCACGCGGACGCTTCTTGGGCTGACGACCAGGCTACGCAGCGGTCGTCACAGGGTTACACCTTCGGCCTTGGTTCCGGCTCTGTTTTGTGGCGGGCTACTCGCTCGTCTTCTGTTCTTGGCTCCAGTTGTGAGGCTGAGATCTACACCGGGGCTATGGCTGCTCAGGAGCTTCGCTGGCTCACCTTCCTGCTGACCGACCTTGGAGAGCCGCCTCGTTCTCCTCTAGTCTTGTACGTAGACAACAAGGCCATGCTGGCCTTGTGTCGAGAGCAGCGACTGGAGCACAGGACAAAGCTCATTGCTCTACGCTACTTTCTTGCTCGTGAGCTACAGCAGCGTGGACAGTTGCGACTTGCGTAGGTGGCCTCTGAGGCCAACATTGCTGATGTCTTCACCAAGGCACTTGCGCCTTGTGATCATCAGCGTTGTTGCACGCAGCTGGGTCTTGTGCCTGTCTTGCCTCACTTACTCACTTCTTGACCTTGCTTGTACCTTCACCTATATATACTCTTGCTCTTGCTTGCTTGACTCTTGTATATCTCTATATATGATCTTGCATGTGAACTGGCCTTGTGGCCTTTGAACTTGTGCTCGGAATGTGTGGTGACTTTGTGATCCACCCTGAGCTTTGCTTTGCTTTGCTTGACTGGTCTTGTGACCCCTTGTTCTCCCCCACTTTGCCTATGGGGGTGTGTCAGGACATATAGCTTACTTACTTGTGTAGGCTATAGTGGGGTATCCCATAGGGGGTACAACACAATTAGGGTTTCCTATTTGTACTCACTTCGTTCATAGTCATTTCATTCTCGTTCACTTCTTCTCAGTTGGCCCAGCGACGCGGGCAGGCTCCGCAGCGCGGGGCAGTCGTCGAGCTCGAGCGACTCAAGCGCCGCCAGCTGGCCCAGCGATTCGAGAAGCGCCGCGAGCTCAGACGCGGAGGTGATTCTGAGCGCGCGGAGGGCGGAGAGCGTGAAGAGCGCGGGGGGGAGGCAGTTGACGTGCTGCAGGAGGAGGAGCGAGAGGGAGGTGAGCGCGGTGAGGCGGAAGACTTCGGCGGGCAAGGAGTAGAGCGCGGCGAGGTCGGCGAGCGTGAGCGCGCGCAACGAGGGCGCGAGCGCGGGGAGGGCGGGGGATAAATGGGTGAAGAAGTAGCAGCATTCGAGGGAGAAAGACTGCACTAGCGCGAGGCGCGCGACTGGCTGGCGACGTCCCTCCGCCTCCTCGCGCGCGCCGCTTCTGATCAGCGAAGCAAGGGCCGACACGTTCTTCACCTGTTGGAATCACTGAACAGGAATGGATGAACTAGCAGTGAAATGAGTATAAGTACCTAACCTTAGAATTGTGTACCCCCTATAGGCTAACCCACTATAGCCTAAACTAACACAACATATATTATGTTTGACACACCCCCATAGGCAAAGTGGGGGAGAACTAGGGGTCACAAGACCAGTCAAGGCAAAGCAAGGCAAAAGAAGCTCAGGGTGGATCTCAAGGATACCACACAAATTCCGAGCACAAGCAAGTGGTCACAAGACCAGTTCACATGCAGGTTTATAATAAAGCAAAAGGTACAATGATCACAACCTAACAAGAGTAAACATGCTGGTATATATATAGAGATCACAGTACAAACAGACTCAAAAAGTAAGCAAGTGAGGTCCAGTAGGCACAAGGCCTAGAAGAGTGCAAAAGCGCTGATGGTCACAAGGCTGAAGCGCCTTGGTGAACACATCAGCAGTGTTGGCCTCAGAGGCCACGTGGCGCAGGCAAAGCTGACCACGCTGCTGCAGCTCTCGAGCAAGGAAGTAACGAAGAGCAATGTGCTTCGTTCTGTGCTCCAGTCTGTGCTCCTCACACAAGGCAATGGCTGCCTTGTTGTCGACGTACAACACTGGAGGAGAACGAGGCTGCTCTCCAAGGTCGGTCTGCAAGTTGGTGAGCCAGCGTAGCTCCTGGGCCGCCATGGCTGTGGCGTAGATCTCAGCCTTACAACTGGAGCTGAGAACAGAAGAAGAGCGAGTAGAACGCCAAGAAACAGAACCAGAGCCAAGACTGAAGGAGTAACTCTGAGACGACCGCTGAGTAGCCTGGTCGTCTGCCCAAGAAGCGTCTGAGTGCCCAGTGAGAACAACTGGGACTCGCCCTCCAAGCACTAGCCGCATGCCCGACGTACTGCACAAGTAGCGCAACACCCTCTTAGCTGCATCCATGTGCTCCTTCCGGTGACGGCCGGGAGCGACATAGCGTGCAAGAATGCTGAGAGGGTATGCAAGGTCTGGTCGAGTGCAGGTCATCAGGTACATGAGGCAACCCACAAGCTTTGGATACGGGCCACTCGGCTCTACAGACTCATCCGAAGGCAGAGCTGAGAGCGAGTGACCGGTAGGCAGAGGAGTGGGCTGAGGCGAGGAGTACGTGAAGCGGAAGCGCTGAAGGACATGCTGCACCATGTGTGATTGAGTCAAGGTGATGGTGCGGCGTGCTCTGTCCCGGGTGATCCGCAAGCCAAGATAGCTTGTCAGTTCACCCAGATCTGTGCACGTGTGTCTCTTCTGCAGCTCCGACTTCACGTGGGCGAGTGCCACAGTGTCAGCAGTAGCAAAGACCAAGTCGTCGACGTACACAAGGACGTAGAATGGCGGCAGTGAGGTGTCGGTGCGTAGAAACAGCGACGGGTCAGCAGTAGAAGGCGCCAACCCAAGAGCCGCAAGCGTAGTCCTCAGTGTGTCGTGCCACTCACGAGGTGCCTGGCGGAGACCGTAGACTGGCCGTCGGAGGCTCCACTGGGTACCAGGAGGGAAAGACCCAGTGAAGCCAGGTAGACGGCGCAGCCAGATCTCCTCGTGCAGGCTGCCCTGCAGGAAAGCAGTGCTGAAGTCAAGCGAGTGGAGCTCGTGGTCACGCTGAGCGGCGACGTGCAGCAGAACCCGAAGAGTGGTCATCTTCGGGGTCGGGGAGAAGGTCTGGAAGAAGTCAACTCCCTCTCGCTGACTGAAGCCTCGTGCAACGTAACGCGCCTTGAAGACAGGCGGAGAGCCCGGCGGCCGCTTCACCCTGAAAATCCACATGCCACTGACGATGTTCGCCCCAGGTGGGGGAACCTCGTCGACGTAGGTGCCTGTGGACTTCCAGGAAGCCATCTCTGTGTCCATGGCTGACTGCCACTGAGAGGAGTAGGGACCGGCCATCGCCTCTGCGTAAGAGCGTGGGGTCGGGATGTCTGGTGCATCCGGGTCTCCCTCAGGGGCAACAAGCATGGACACGAGATGGGGCAAAGCGGCAGCAAAGCACTCAAACTCCTCCTGCCTGTCCTCAAGGACGTCAGTGCCAAGAGCACACTCACCCCCGATGGACGGAGGACAGACAAACTCAGACTCAGCAACTAGGCTAGCAGCGTAGTCTAGACGACAACGAGCAGCAAAGTCGACAAGCTCAGCAACTAAGGCAGACGCAGCAGCAGACTCAAAGGAAGGGTCAGTGACAACAGTAGCCAGGAGACGCGTGACAGTAGGACTGGTAGCACGAAGAGAGTCTGACCCAGGGTCAGCAAGAGCAGGAAGAGAGGAAGCAGGAGGAGAGGGCAGTGGGACACGCTGTGGAGCAGTGGACGGACAAAGCGCCATCCGGTGAGTGCCTGGGACAGCAGGAAGACGCTGACGCTGGACTCGACTACTAGAGAGAGCAGTGCGGACAGGCAACTGCGGACAAGACTCAGGCGACGCAGGACGAGACGCAGGCTCACGCCGCTCAGTAAGACCTCCAGTCGGACCAGTGTAAGGAGCAGGACCAGGGAGAGAGGAGGCAGACGGTAACGCCGACTGGACAGGCGGAGGACACGCTAAGGAGGGAGGAGGAAAAGGAGGAGGATGCTGAAGGAGCGGAACAAAGTACGGCCGAGACCGAGCAGCGACACCAGAGCCAGCAGGGACACCCGCACCAGGGTCCGCAGCACCAGCAGCAGCTCCAGCGCCCACGTCCTCAGCACCAGCGGCAGCTCCAACGCCCGGGTCCTTAGCACCAGTAGCAGCTCCAACGCCCGGGTCCGCAACACCAGCGGCAGCTCCAACGCGTGGGTCCTCAGCACCAGCAGCAGCTCCAACGCCCGGGTCCTCAGCACCAGCAGCGGCTCCAGCGCCCGGGTCCTCAGCACCAGCAGCAGCTCCAACGCCCGGGTCCTCAGCACCAGCAGCAGCTCCAACGCCCGGGTCCTCAGCACCAGCAGCAGCTTCAACAGCAGCGGGGTCCGTAACACGAGGCACGCCACTCCGAAGAGTGCAGCGCCGCTCGTACCACTCACGGATCCGCTCGCGGGAGGGGAGCTCCCGAACGGGAGAAGAAGCACTAGCACCAGTCCTAGTAGTACGTCCGGCTCGAGCGGTACCTCTCCGGAGGCTGCAGTACTCTAAGTACCACGCACGCGGCTGCTCCGAGGAGAGGGCTCCTCCAGGTGCAGGACTCCCAGGCCTAGTACCTCCAGACTCATAACCCCCAGACTTCGGACTCCGCAGCTCAGCACCACAAGGCTCCACACCCCCAAGCTCAGCACCCTCAAGCTCCACACCCCCAGGCTCCACATCCCCAGGCTCCACACCCCCAGGCTCCACACCCCCAGGCTCCACACCCCCAGGCTCAGCACCCCCAGGCTCAGCACCCCCAGCAGGACGAGAGTCGACAGCTACCTCAACAGGCTCAACCGGGTCTACCTGAGACACACCTGAGGGAGCGGCACCCTGAGGGGGGAGGGGGTCTGCAACAACAGCACCTGTCGCGAGGAAGAGAGGCGGGGGGGGGAGCGGGGCAGTGCGGTAGGGGAAGAGGCAGTAGTAGGGGACGGACTCGTCAAAAGTGTTTAACCGACTGTAGCCTAAACTAACACAACATATATAATGTTTGACATCACCATCACGTTCGCCACTCGCGGCAGTGCCAGCAGTGTGGGCGGCAGTCCTCTCATCGACTTGGACGGCGCCAACACCAGCCGCTCCAGTGACGTCAGCGTCGCAATCGACGTGGGCAGCTCGGCGATCGGCGTGTCGACGATCTCGACCTCGCGGAGCGCTGGCGCCGCGCCGATGTCGTCGGGGAGCGCGCGGAGGCTGCGGCAGTGGCGGATGGTGAGGAGCGCAAGGGACTCGAGGGAGATGGGCGGAAAGCGGCCCCACCCCCGGCTGACGTTCTCCAGGCGCAACTCCTCCAGCTTGCGCCACTCCTCCCCCACGTCGGGGTGCGCGCAGCTGATGTTGCACAGGTTCAGGCGGCGCAGCTTCTTGAGCGCGCTGATGCTCTCCGGAATGCCCTCCCCGTGTATTTTCAGCGCCGTCAGCACGCTCATCGCGCAGAGCTGCGCGGGCAGCCGGTGCATCACGCGGCAATCTGCTAGGCAGAGGCGGGACAGCCGCGTGAGCTGCGTGACGGACACGGGGAGGCTCCGCAGCTCGGGGCAGATGACGCACGCGGAGCTCTTCCAGCGCGCGCAGCGCGCCGAACTCGTCGGGAAGAATGGTAAGTCGCGACACGCTGAGGGTGAGCACGCGAAGCGACGAGAGTGACGTGAGCGAGGAGGGAAGCTTTGTCATGTTGCCGAGGCTTTGGTCGAGAGTGAACTGCTCGAGACGCGAAGCGCGGAGGAAGAAGCGGCCGAGGCACGTGGGGGTGATGCGGAAGTGCGGCACCCCGGTGTAGCGCGGCTCGTCCAGGCGCAGGCGGGAGAGCTGCGGGCAGGCGGAGGGCTGCGCCATCAGGAACTCGTCGTTCAGAAAGTCTACGCTTTTATATTATAGCGTGAGCGTGGTCACGTTGGGGAGTCTCACCAAGCCGCGCAGCAGCTTGCCCGCGTGGAGGTTGTGCTCGGCGCTGACATGGACGCCCTTGCTGCGTATATTGCGCCAGGCGCAACCACCGGCAGCACACGAGCGCGTGGCGTATCGCATTGCTGGAAGAGGCTCGCTCGAGAATTGCGGAGAGTACGTCGTCGGGCAGACCGTTGATGATATCCTCGCCCGGCTAGAGCGCGCCTTTCACTGATTCCAGATCTCGCGGCTCTTCTGTCACGTGGGCATCAGGCGGTGTGGTCGTGGCGTCCATGGCTTCTGCGTAAAGCACGCTTCCACGCGATGTGGGGCTGCTGCAGACGAAGGAAGCTATGCCTATGGTCTGGGATGAGGAGTAGTTGGAAGCACGACAAGGAAAATTGTGCACGGAAGGGTGATGGATGGGAGTGGAAGAGACGAATGAAGCAGATGGGCAGGGTAGTCCGTGCGTGCACTCCGTACGGGCAGTCCGTGCTGTCAAATTATAATATTGTGTAGGCTATAGTGGGGTAGCCTATATGGGGTACACATTTCTAGGGTTGCATATTTGTATCACTTCCATTTCTTAGTCATTCATTCTTGTTCTAAGTTTCTCATGGTATCGAGCAGGTTCCCTCGTGGGAACTGTGCCTAGGGCCCACCACATCGAACATTTTTTTTCCTGCCCGGAGCGCGCTCCCCGAGTCGCGCTCCCCTCTCTACACTCGTCGAGCCGCCCTGGCGGCCTCCCTTGCGGCCCCACCGCCCTAGCTTGCGGCCCCGCCACCCTCCCTTGCGGCACGTCGCCGCCCTCGATTGCGGCCCAATCGCCGCCCTCACCTGCGGCCCGTCGCCGCCCTCCCTTGCGGCCCCGCCACCCTCTGTTGCGCCCCCCCCCCCCCCCCCCCCCCCCGCCCTCACCTGCGGCCTCGGAGCCACCCTCAGCTGCGGCCCCGTCGTCGCCCTCACCTGCGGCCCGTCGCCGCACTCACCTGCGGCCCCGACGCTGCCCTCAGCTGCGGCCCCGTCGCCGCCCTCACCTGCGGCCCGTCGCCGCCCTCACTTGCGGCCTCGTCGCCGCCCTCAGCTGCGGCCCCGCCGCCACCCTCACCTGTGGCTCGTCGCCGCCCTCACCTGCGGCCCCGACGCCGCCCTCAGCTGCGGCCCCGTTGCCGCCCTCACCTGCGGCCCCGACGCCGCCCTCAGCTGCGGCCTCGTCGCCGCCCTCACCTGCGGCCCCGACGCCGCCCTCAGCTGCGGCCCCGTCGCCGCCCTCACCTGCGGCCCCGCCGCCCTCACTTGCGGCTTTGCCGCCCTCACCTGCGGCCCCGCCGCCTTCAGTTGCGGCCCGTCCCCGCCCTCACCTGCGGCCCGGCGCCCTCACTTGCGGCCCCGCCGCCCTCACTTACGGCCCCGCCGCCCTCAGTTGCGGCCCCGCCGCCTTCACTACTGCAGCGCCGCCCGTCGCCCGAGCCGCCCGAGCCACCTCACCCAGCCGAGCCGCCGTCCGCCGCGCCGTCCTGCAGCAGCACAACCGAGCCGCCTGGCAGCAGAGCAACCGAGCAGCCGAGCCGCCGAGCCGCCCAGCAGCCGAGCCGCCGAGCCGCCCTACCGCCGAGTCGCCCGAGCAGCCCTGTCCGGTGAGCACAGCGCCTCTGTCACTGCACTGCCCCTTTCCCTACTGCTTGCACTGCCAGTCTACTGTTGTCATGGCTACCCCTAGTGTCCTCACTTTTGACGTTGAGGGTCGAGCCATCGACTTTGAGGTCTGGGTCGACGACCTGCAGCTGTTATTACAGTGGGATAGGGCAGACGGTCTCTCTCTCTCTTTGACCTCACCTCTGGCGCCTCTCCTGCCCCTACTACTGATGCTGACCCCACTGTTCGCTCCCAGTGGGCCACCCGCGATGCTGCTGCACGTCTTGCTGTGCGTCGCTACCTGCCTACCACTGAGCGTGCGCACTTTAGTCAGTACAAGAGTGCTCAGACCTTGTACGACGCTGTAGTTGCGCGCTACTCTTCCCCTGCCACTGCTGCACTGAGCCGCCTCATGCTACCGTACCTCTTCCCTGACCTTGCTGCCTTTCCCACAGTCGCCGACCTCATTACGCACCTCCGCACTAGTGACACTCGCTACCGCGCCGCGCTTCCTGCTGAGTTCTGCGCCAAGAACCCCCCCCCCATGTACATCACGCTCTATTATATAGTCACCCGCCTCCCTTCGTGTAGTCAGGGACCACTTCCTCTCAGTCTATCCCACCACTCTCACTGTTGACCTCCTGGAGAAGGCCCTCCTAGCAGCGGAGAAGAGCATAGTCGCTATAGGAGCCTCTCGTGGTGACCCTCGCACCCCCATCTTTGAGGGGTGTTCCCCTTCCCCCCTTTTGCCCTCTGTCGCCTCTGCCGCTGCGGCCGACCTCGTTGGTCTTGAGTCGGTCGGTGCGGCGTCTGCCCCTAGCGGGAGACGCCGCTCTGGCAAGGGCAAGGGGGGCAAGGGCGCGGGTGGAGCTAGTGGGGGCGGTGGAGGTGGCGGTGGAGGAGGTGGAGGGAGTGGGGGTGGCGGTGGGAGTGGTGGCGGGGGTGGAGGTGTCGGTTGCAGCAGTGGAGGCGGAGGCGCGGAGGCGATAGCGGTGGTAGCGGAGGCGGTGGTGGTGGCGGAGGTGGAGGCGGCGGTGGTGGAGGCGGTGGTGCTGGTCGGGGTGGTGCTTTGCAGCGGAGCGGCTCCGGTGGTGGTCAGCGCCAGCAGCAGCAGCAGCAGCAGCGTTCTCGGGACATCCCCTCTCCGCAGCAGCTCCGTGAGTGGTACACGCAGCGTCAGCGTGGTGGGGGTTTTGGTCCGTGCACCTACGTCCTTCGCTCCGGCGACCGCGCGGGTGAGCAGTGTGGGGGAGCCCACCCCACTCAGCGCTGCTTTGGCCGCCTGACGGACGCTTGGCGTCAGCAGTTCCCGGAGGCTAGTGAGATCCCCCGCTGGGGAGAGCTGTCTAGGGCAGGTGTAGCTATCTATGATCTTGACTTTGATGCTATCCTTGCTGCCATGTATGCTGTGACTATTAGTGATGAGGGTGACTGTTACCGGTGTTTCCCGCCCGACCCGGGCATTGAGACTGCTGCTCTAGGTACTGGTGAGGCTGCTGCTCTAGGTGCCATTGAGGCTGCTGCTCTAGGTGCCAGTGCGTCCGCGTCCTTAGGTGCTGGTGAGTCTGCGCTGTCAGGTACTGCGTCGGCTTCGGCCTCCCTCACCTTCACACTTGACTTAGGGGCTTCTCGCTCCTTCTTTCGAGGCCGCACCACACTCACGCCGCTTGGTCGGCCAGTTGCAGTCTCCCTGGCAGACCCCTCTGGGGGTCCTGTCCTCTCTCACTTCTCCACTGTTCTCCCGTGTCCGGTTGCCCCCTCTGGCACATTGTCTGGTCTTTACCTCCCCTCGTTCTCTACGAACTTGGTGAGTGGTGCTGACCTGCAGGATGCGGGGGTTCACCAGTTTACTCCTGCGAGTCAGCGGGTGACCCACTGCTCGGACGCTCGCACAGGCCAGCACCTGGCCACGTTTACGCGTCGGCCGGGGTCGAGCCTCTACACCCTGACCACTGGGTCTCCTCCTGTCCCTGCGTCTAGCCAGGTAGCTGCATCGGGTCAGGTGTTTGCTGCAGCGTCCAAGTCTGGTCCTAAGTCTGCCCCCTGCTCGTGTCGCCTCCTGTCTCACGAGACTCTCCTGTGGCACCACCGTCTTGGTCACCCCTCCCTGCCTCGTCTCTGAGGCATGGCTTACCGTGTCCTTGTCTCTGGTCTCCCCCGGTCCGTCCCTCCCCTTCCTCTAGGGCCTGGTCCTTCCTGTGTTCCCTGTGTCGAGGGACGGCTCCGGGCTGCCCCTCACTCCTCTCAGTTTCCCCCGACAGAGGCCCCGCTGCAGATGCTTCACATGGACGTGTGGGGCCCGGCCTGCGTCCGTGGACAGGGTCACGAGCGCTACTTCCTGCTGGTGGTTGACGACTACTCGCGTTACACCTCAGTCTTCCCCTTGCACAGCAAGGGTGATGTCATTGAGGTGTTGATCGACTGGATCCGCGCAGCTCGTCTCCAGCTCAGGAGGAGCTTCGGCTCGGACTTTCCTGTTTTGCGTCTGCACTCTGACCGAGGCGGAGAGTTCTCCTCTGGCCTTCTGCGAGCCTACTGCTATGCGCGAGGCATCCGCCAGACCTTTACGCTTCCGGACTCTCCACAGCAAAAAAGGATTGCAGAGCGCCGCATTGGCATGGTCATGGACGTCGCTCGTACGTCCATGATGCATGCGGCTGCCCCCCACTTTCTGTGGCCGTTTGCGGTTCGGTACGCGGCGCATCAGATCAACCTTCACCCCAGGGTCTCCATGCCGGAGACCTCCCCAGCTCTGTTGTGGACCGGGAAGGTAGGCGATGCGTCTGCGTTCCGTGTCTGGGGATCTCGGGCGTTTGTCCGCGACTTGTCTGCGGACAAGCTGTCCCCTCGTGCTGCTCCTTGTGTCTTCCTTGGCTTCCCCCCTGACACACCAGGGTGGCAGTTCTACCACCCCTCCTCTCGTCGTGTTCTGTCC